AGAACCGTGCCTTAAGGGGAGTACCTGGTTATGTATGGGGAGTCCTGGTGGCAATGGACTCAAGACTGTGACCCTACAGGTTAAGAGGGGAATCAGGCAGCCAGTGGGCTTTACCTTATTTGACGTGCACAGTGACCACAGTGACGTGTATTCCATTTGCATTTGAATGCTTGTAGGGGAAGCCCGCACTCTCGTTCACCTGCACATCCTTTACCAGCCCAGAAGCCACACTTCTAGCCTGGTGCCTGCGGGCCTATTTAAATACATACTGTTTGGTCGTTTTTTTTAAAATTTTTTAAGATTTTATTTATTTATCTTTAGAGGGGAAGGGAAGGAGAGAGGGAGAGAAATGTCAATGTACGGTTGCCCCTAGTGTGTCTCCTGCTGGGAACTGGCCTGCAACCCAGGCATGTGCCCTGACTGGGAATCGAACAGAGATCCTTTGGTTCATAGACCTGCGCTCAATCCACTGAGCTACACCAGCCAGGGCTCTGTTTGGTCATTTTTTTCTTCGTTCTGTTCCACTCGATTGATTTTAGTCCCAGTTTCCTTCCCGTAACTATTGTTTCCCCGTGCATTTTGTTTCATTTCACTTAGTGAAGCCTTCATTTTTTGTGACTAAAATCGACCAGTTCTGTGAGCACCAGTGTTTTGAACTATGCATCCAGTAGGTTGGCTATCTCTTGGTCACTTAGAAGTATTGGCTCTGGTACTTTGAGTTGTTCTTCTTGATCCATAATGTTTTGGTCTGTTCGCACCTGTTATATGTGAGGGGTGGAGCCTTAGGTGTTCACCAGGGTGGGGCGACCCAGTCACTGGGTAGTGACGTTGTATGTGGGGCTGGGGTCAGAGAGGGGCAATGGCATTTGTTCTGCACTCTGTTGAATTTCGGTCCCCTCTTCTGCTTCCCACAAGCAAATTGGGCCCTTCTGGTGCTAGTTCCCAGGTGTGTGGGCTTGTGTACCCTCCAGAACCCTGTGGGTCTCTCCAATGAACTCTCTGTGAGCCTGGAAGCCTCTCTCGGCACCTCCACCCCCAAAAGTTTTTCCAATTGATGCTTTTAGGTTTTATTTCCTGGTGCTGGGGCCCTGGTTTGTGCCATCTATCTCACTGCTCACTACTTTGCCTGGTTTATCTGCATGCGAATGTGTGACCACGGTCAAGCAGCCGCCTTGCACCCTCATGGGGTCTGCCTGTTGCCACTCCACACCTGGGATCTGCCAACCGCCGTCTATGCACATGGTTGGCCTGACGGCCACTGCTTTTTCCTGCGTGACCCCTCCCCGCCAGCTGCTGACTCTGCCCCTCTTACCAGTCTGGATGAATGGTTTATTGTTGTCTGACTTAGGTACAGTTTAATTTTCTCTCTGTTTTGGTTGCGTTCTGGTTTTTAAATATTTGTTGTTTGAAAATTTGGTTGTATGAGGAATTCAAAAAAAACAAGGAGAGGCTTAGGAACCTCCAGGACATCTTTAAACGCCCCAACATCCGAATTATAGGGATACCAGAAAGGGAAGAGGAACAGCAACAAGTGGAAAACTTATTTGAACAAATAATAAAGGAGAACTTCCCCAATCTTGCAAAGGAAATAGACTTCCAGGAAGTCCAGGAAGCTCAGAGAGTCCCAAAGAAGTTGGACCCAAGAAGGAACACACCAAGGCACATCATCATTACATTAGCCAAGATTAAAATGAAGGAGAGAATCCTAAAAGCAGCAAGAGATAAGGGGACAGTCACCTACAAAGGAGTTCCTATTAAACTCTCAGCTGATTTCTCAAAAGAGACCTTACAGGCAAGAAGGGACTGGAAAGAAGTATTCCAAGTCATGAAATTCAAAGACCTACATCCAAGATTGCTCTATCCAGCAAAGCTTTCATTTAGAATGGAAGGGCAGATAAAGTGCTTCTCAGATAAGGTCAAGTTCAAGGAGTTCATCATCACCAAGCCCTTATTATATGAAAGATTAAAGGGACTTATCTAAGAAAAAGAAGATAAAAAAGATGAACAGTGAAAGGACAGCAAACTCACAGTTATTAACAACCACACCTAAAACAAAAGCAAACTAAGAGGACACCTAGATCAGGAGCAGAACCATAGAAATGAAGATCACATGGAGGGTTAGCAACAGGGGAGTGGGAGGAGGGGGGAGAGAAGTTACAGAGACTAAGTAGCATAAACAGTAGGTAGAAAATAGATAGAGGGAGGACAAGAATAGTATGGGAAATATAGCATCTAAAGAACTTGAGACACATGGACATGAACTAAAGGGGGGAATGGGGGGAGTGGGTGTGCAGGGTGGAGGGGAATAAAGGGGGGAAATGGGACAACTGTAATGGCATAATCAAAACATATTAAAAATAAATACATACATACATGCATACATACTCTCCCAAGAGAGTATTTCATACTCTCCCAAGTAAAATAATGTGTCCAGGTCTGAAAAGAGATCTATGAGGACTTGTATGATGCCACTACTCTGCATGAATACGTGTTTGTAGCTATAGGGAACCAGATCAGCTTTCCAATTTACTTTCTGTAGAAGCTGAGTCCCACAAAGGGATTTAATCTATACTTCTAACCTCAATGCCTTCAAGAGTCAATTGGGTCAGATTTGCCTTAGATGATGCCTGAAGATTGTGAAGTCCGATTCCAGGTGCCCTACTGCTAGAACACCACACATACTCCCCACCCCACCACCATCCTCCCGAGAACTTGAAAGCCTGAACCCACTCCTACCCCCAATCACTGAAAATAACTAGACAAATTCTTCCACCATTGGAGATGGAAAAGTAAATTCTGAGTTTGTCAACCACTTCTACCAGGTAAAAACTGAATGTATCAATCAGCATAAGTGACAAATAGGTCTTTCCATTTTCACGGCCTACTCGACCAAATTCTTGAAGATTTATACAGAAGAGCTCATGAAAACATCAGATCAAAAGGCTGTATGGCTAAAGTCAGCTTTGGGCATTTATTCTTGAAAAATGAACACATAGGTACTACACAGGAAGTTAACAGATTTGTCATTTAATTGCTGTTTAGGATTCTAAATGTCATTAACTTTTATATTTTTTAGAAAGATCAATATCTAGTAAGATACCTCAATATAGTTAGAAAATATAGTCTCAAAACTTAATAATACAAATGAGTTAATAGTAAATACTAGTGCATTTACAACTAACTTGTGGCTAAAGAATTAGTTGTAGCTAAAGAATAACTTGTGGCTGTTTTAATATTAAGTGTTGATTTAGAATAATTCCTTTTAGGGATGAAAATTGGTACCCAATGCTAGTTGGATCTAAACTTGAAAAGAATGACTTTATTGGTGAATCCGATAATATAAAGGAAACATACATATGTGATGATTATCTAAGACTTATTACCTGCTTGCCTTTGTTATGTGAAGTCAGATTAAACATTCCCAGCATATTTATACTGAAAGTGCAAAAAGCCACTATCCTAGATATATATTGCATTACATTTTGCTTCTATTTTCAAGTTTCAAAGTTGTGCATAATATGTAGTTTTATGGGTGCATCTGTATATGTATGTGCATTCCACGCTGCTTTTTGCAAATTAAAGAGTCCCTTCACCCTATATTTTCAGCAGGGGATCTATCCAGAGAAGGAGTTTAGACATCTACATAGCTGAATAATTTGAAATTTGCTCTTGAATAAGAAAAGCCTTTATATGTATATTGCCTCAATACCTCCTGTACTGAAGATAACTGATTAGGCCACTGAAAACTTTTGTTGTTGCTGATATACCAAGTTTCTAGCCATCTAACTGATGCTGATTGTGGGTGCACAGACATGTATGATCTGCATAGACTATGTCCGGTGTAATACTTGGTCTTTATCAATAGCACAAAAAGCAAGGGACTGGACAGTATAATTTATTGAGTAAGCATTCCAAGTCACTAATAAAACTTGGTTTAATTGTTCCCATCATTGTTATATAAAATCAATTAGATGAACATTGCCAGCAGGTTTACACTCAAAATGCAAAGTATGTCACTGTTTGATATTGATACCACATTACAGTTGCTTCCACTTGAAAGTTCCAAGGAAGTACATTCTTCTAAATGAAATAAGTGTTTCTTGAGCTACAATTCCCTGAATTCAAAAGCGCAATGTATCAATCTTTATTAATAATAAATCACATTCTAATTAAACAAAATGATATTTTTGATAGGGCCCCAGATAATTTTGTGGCTATGAGATTTTAAAAATAAATTACATTGTTAAATTTAGTCAGTCACTCTTCAAGTTTGTAGGCATTATTAACAGCATGCCCCTTCCTTCATTTAACGAAAAAGTCATTAATCCATTAAATTAAATTAAAGATTGCATGTCTGCTATAAGCAAATGCTTTCCAAGGCACTGGAGAAACAACAGCAAACAAGCACACGTCTTCCCTGCACCCTCGCAGTTTACAGAATAGCACTTTGTGGCTCAAGGATCCATCAAGCATATTTTCTATAGCTATATATATAAAAAAAGTTAACGCCTAGGAAGAATAAAAGGCCATACATTAATGTTTCTACAAATATCTGTTGAAACATTTTGGGGGGCACTAGTACTTGATCGTATTAGCTTCAGAGGTGTCACTTCTGATTAGGATTTATTTCTAAATGTGATAAGGCACCTCTGGCTCCTAGTGTAAAACTGGAGTTGATGGTAAGCAAGACATTGGTGAAGGAATTATCTATTGGATTTTCTCTGGTCACTGAGCCACACCCATCAGGGCAAGAATTATTGTTTTATTCCTATTAGTATCTTTCAGTTTAAATGTCCAATGCAGCTTCTGAGAATTATTTAAAAAAATAATTCATCAAGATAATTTAAACTGAATTTTTTGAATATAGAAAAGAAAAGCTTCTGCAAAAGTTATTGATGTAAAATGATTTTTGAAGACAACCAAACAACTAATTTCTATTTTTGTTGGAGAGCAGAAAGGAATAACCAGTAGAAAAACTTGCGATTACACAATAGGAAATTTTATCTGCAGTCAAGATTTTCCTTGGGAATCGTAAATAAGCTCTGATTCAAACTTGTTTTCACCCGTTTTTCTCGCTGCCTTCGGTTGCAAAACCAAACTCTTACTACTTCTTTCTCAAGATTCAGTTCTTCAGCCATCCTCATGATCTCTTGAGATGAGGGTTTACTCTGCTCTCCAAAGTGTCTCTCCAGAGCCCCTTTTGCAGTGATACTGGGAGAGGGGGTTGGGGCAGCAGGTGGGGGTAGAAAGCGTTATATTAAGTTTTTGGCAGATCAGATTAAGTTAGGTTGAATTTTCTAAATATTTACATAAAAACAAAACTTAAAGACTCTGAAAACACTTTAAAAACTCTTCAAAAAAGATAGATGGATGACTTGTCATACTTTAGATGCTTATCTTATTCAGGGCACCATTTATTACCCGAGTCACAGGAAGAAAGGAGAGGAACCCAGACTTTCTATGTTCATCCCCCTTTGCACCACAAGAGGGCACTGACTTCCTGAGAAGGAAGGAGCACTTTGCTAGGCATTTCTGCAAAGTTCCCCAGAAATCATTTAAGTTGTTTACCATACGATAGATGAAATGTTCAGTGAACAACCAACTGACCAAAACAAAACCTATATGTCAGCATTTCCTCTGTGAGCCTCACGGGCATTACAAAAAGATCAAACAACAAATCTTTCTGGTTTAAATTGCAAGAAGTTGCCTCTGACTTGAAAATAACTAAAATACTGATTACTAGGTTTTTTTAATTTTTAATAACACAGATGCCAAATTGCCAGAGCAAGACTTATATCTAACCCTTTGGCAGAAACAGTCACTATTTTTAGAAGTGATTGTTCATACTGGATTTTATCCAAAACTTGTGGAGCCAAAGTGTTCTTAAATCAAGCAATACAAACTATTCCAACAATTGCTTAAAATTATTAGCTCTCTGCTTTTCACTATTAAGGTATTAAAATATGCTTTCTTCACATACCTTGTTTTTATTGAGTTGACTATATTCACCTTACATTTATATGTTGTGTTGCACCTATTTGTGCTAACAAATGATTCTATTTGTAAAATATCCTTTTCTTCCTCCAGTAACATCTAATGTCTCCAAAGCATACCTTATAGTTGTTCTGCGTTTCCTTTTCCTCTCATTGACTCCCACTTTTTCACTGTACAAAGCTGTAATGGGGAAAAGAGGGACAATTACAGAAACCAAGTAAGGTTAAGAAAAAACCCTCAGATTTGGATTTGGATTTCAAATGTTCATGGTAAAGCAATGCAAAATAAAATCACCATATATTTTTGTTTTAATTTTTTGCAACTGATGTCATTTTATATTACAAGCCCTAGATAAAAATGCAGACAACTGTAGTTGAACAATAAAATAATTAAAAAATGTTAATACAACATTTAATACATTTAATACAACCGTTAATACAGAAATAAATATTAACTATTCAAAGACAGTTGTGTATAAATCCTATTGCTACTCTGCTTTTGTTCCCTCTCTTGCTCTCAATGCTCCCATGCCTTGCTCCTTATCCAGCCTTGACACATTAGTGTGAGTAGATAATTCTATCACATTAAATTGCTCATTTGGCAATAGCTAATGCTAGTCACTTGGAAGACTACTGTGAGCAAATGCCCTGGTTAGGCTAGTACAAGGTTATGAAAATGATTGCATGTACAATCACTACAGTATAGAACAGAGGCAAAGAAAATCTGAATGTGTTAAAAGTTCATTTCACCATTTCACACCTATGCCACACTGTCTTAGAAAGCTGTACCCATACAGCTTATCCTTCCACTATTTACGTTCTCGGTAAATTTATCTCTACTTGCATTAGCTTTCCTTTCAGTGGGATGAAACAAGACAGTTATTTTTTTTATCTTAATGAAGAAAAACTAAATTAAACCTCAAACCTCTCGTTTTATTGTTAATCCCACCAATAGAAGCCACTGTTTTTAGCTTAAAATGTCACAGAGCCTTCAGAGATACAGCTTCAGTACCTCCCACTTGTTCCGCCTCCTCCAGCCATTTGGATAATATTGCTTTCAGTTTGCATGCATTTTTGAAGCTGAGCTGCAGGTTTTCAAATCGGCAGATAGTTGTTTGACTGAACTCAGAGCCATGCACAGCTGCCAGGGCCTCCCCAACATTTGTTTGGGTGTATCCTGTGGAAGGACAGTAAAGACCATTAGCTTCAGCTTTCACGAAGCATTCATTTCGGTCCAGTGTTGCATAAACATGTGTCTCTTTCTTTGTTCAGTACCGCTTTTAAACATATATTTGTTGGCAATTTAGAATTACTTTGTAAGGTTCAGTATAAAACTGTCCAGTGCTTCAAAAAATATTCCTTCTAGTTAATTATTTTTTTCTACAAGTCAAAATAATTCCTATGGGAACTTCTGCTATTCTTAGTCTTTAGTCGAATTGTATAGATGTATCATCAGATACTTAAAAATTCTTGCACTCTTTGTTATTATTATTAAATATCTGATGACATATGCTCATCTATAGTATATTTAATATAATGTATAACATATATGGTGCTATATCATAAATATTTTTATCTCAACTGTAAGGGTGAAAAAATCAACTATGTTGTTGAGGGGTACCAGATAAAACTAAAAATTATCCTTACTTTCTTTGTTTCCCATGTTTATTATTAGACTTTGATCACCAAAGATTTTATTTACACACCCAAGCACATTTATTACATCATTTGGTAATGTTTCCATCTCCTGGCAAAGATGCTCAATGATTGTCCCGGACATTTTTTACAGTACAAGTTGCTAGGAACCATCAATACCAAATTAGAAACATTCACAGCAATGTAAATACCAAACAGAAAATGAATGTTATAAATTGCTTACTGCTCTGTTTATTGATATGGCAAGTGCACATTAATTTAGGGCCTACGGCTATATGCCTGTATTCATAAAGGGGTTGCATATGATACTAATCGACAAATTTTATTACCAGATAACTTATGATTCATTCCACAAGTACAGAAGTTTGAACTGTCATTTTCAATCTATTAAAAAATTCACTACTTCATGAATTTAAATCGAGATTAGTTGTTACAGTTATTTTACGTTGAAATACTTTTCAGTAGAGAGAGAGCAAAGGCTATGAAAACAAATCCACAGAAGTGAAATTACAGGTGACTGCCCGACACCTGACACAACACTTGAATCTTCACTCAGAGGAGGAATTTGAAATGCAACTACCATGAGAAGTGACTTTGACCTGTTTGATTTGCAAAGATACAAAAGATTAAGTGCATATTTTTTCTCAATGACTATTTATTTATTCTATTTGTCAGCTTCTGTTCTAAGCTCTCAGAAGATGTCCTTAAGGAGAAGACAAAAACAAACAAACAAACCAACAAGCAGCAAAAAACTCCCACCTGGACGGAGACTGCTTTCTGAGCAGTGGCACAAGAGGCATTCTGATGGCAGCAAAATTTGGTACAATGTCCACATGGACACATTTGGCATCTATCAGAATTACCAGTATGCACACTCTGATGAAGCAATTTTGCTTTTAACAGTTTTCCTACACATACATTTGCATAGTTAAAAAATGACATTCATGAAGTTTATTACTGTAGCATTGTTTTTAACACAATAATATTGGATACCACGTAAATTTATCATCAGTAAGGGAATGGTTAAATAAATTGTAAAATGGAATATAAGACATTCCTTTAAAAAAACCTTTCTAAAAATTGATATGAAAAGATCCTCAACATAGTTACATTTTTTTAAAAATCTGCAAGAAATATGTGTATTTGCTTATATATGATAATATCTGTAAAAGGTTACACAAGAAACTAACATTGACTAATAGGAAAGACAAAGCAGAACGAATACATTTTATTTATATTCTTTTATGTTTTTAAATAATATGAATGTATCATCTATTCAAAAGTTCAAATAAAATATAGAGAAAATGGGGCACTTCTAAACTAATTTCGAGGTGGTTAAGTTGAAAACAAGTACCATTAACTTAAAATCTATGTATTGAGGGCATTAACAATTCACAAGGAAGCAGAGGTTGGTGTAGGAGTGTCACGCATGGACAAACTTAGATCCTTAGTAGAGACAGCGGCTGAGAACTGTCTTGGGCCCTCGAGCGGAGTGAAAGATTGAACCGCACTATAGTAAGGACCTGCAGACCAAGTCGTGCAGACTATTGCTCCTAAAAAGCACATACCTAACTTGATTCTTCTCACTTTAAATTCATTGGCAAACTTTTCAAGTTCTCGAATTTCCGGAGAATCCATGTCTATGGGCTCTTCAACCAATTTACTTTTCCGCCTGAGTTCCTGCTTGAAATCAGAGGCTGTGGGGTCCTCTGTCAGGAGGGACTGGTGCATGGCAGGAAAGCCGTGGCTCAGGGTGTGGTCAGGAAACTTATAGAGACAAGGGGTTAAGCTGCCTGTGAATAAAGGAAAGAAAAGGGACATTTGTAGTCACCGCCTCTTCTATACAAGCAAGGGTTTTTGCCTGTTAGAGTCCGTTCTTTTGCTACAGCCAGTCTCAATTCTAAAAGGTGGGCTGACCATCAGCCTTCTGAAGAAGTATGAGTAGCTTAGTATAAATGTGATTATTTATTTTCCACCTTCCCTAGGGAAGTGAAAACTAAGATAATGCCAAAGGAATTGCAAATAATTAAAAGAAGCAATGGAAATAAGCAAATTTTCTCAGAAGTGTAAGTTTTCCATCATTTTCTCTTAAAGTTGCCCATTTCTAGGAATCTGAGGTTCAACTCTAAGCAGAATGTATATATATATATATTTTTAAGTTTAATATTTATTGTACTTTTTTTCATTACCATTTAGTCCCCTCATAACCTCCTCCCTTCAGCAATCACCACACTGTTGTCCATGTCCGTGAGTCCTTTTTATTTTTTGCTCAGTCCCTCCATCCCCTAAACCACACCCAGCTCTCATCTGCTCTCCACTTATGAGTCTGTCTCTCTTTTGCTTGTTAGTTGAGTTTGTTCATCAGATTGTTCTATTTTCTTAATTCATTGAATACATATCTGTGACATTTTTTTAAAATCAAGTCACATGGTTAAGTGCTATACTGGAAAATTTTCTAAGGATCAGAAAATTGATCTTACAGTATTTAGAAGCCTGGCTTTTATCAATAAATGCTTAACTTTAAAGGGAAATGATCATGTCTTTTAAAAATTTAACATAGGCAGAGAAATAGAATGATAAGAACATAAAGTAATCAACCTGATTTAAATATATTTGAGGAATGAATAGATATGAACAAAAAGTAATTTTTAAAGTCCTATTAAAAAGTCAACAACAAGATTTTTTGAAAAATATTCAATGTAATGAAATCATTTTAGATAATTTTTAAAATATGCACACAGAATTTTAATCAAATTTGTTATACTAGCCTGCTGGTAAGGCCTGAACCCAGGCAAATCCGGGACTCTTGTCCCAGATTCCTGCAAGAACTGGCCCCAAGGGGTTCTCATAGACCTGCTGTCTCTTAGAGGACAGGCACAAAGATGGACACCCTGGTCTCGATGCACTTGACTGAGCTGTCTCTTCTCAGGTGGAGCAACCACAGACAACTGCTCTGTGGGTGGGACACCCAGCAGGCACCATCTGAGGGCAATGCCTGTAGACTTGTATATGAGTCCTTTAATATTGTTAAGATGCTGATGTACCATTGCTGTGTTTGTGTAAACACATTGTGTTCCTAGTTCATGCCATGAATGATGCTATAAAGGGGAAAAAATGGCAAGGAAGAGTGCAATTCTAGATATGATAGGTAATTACCCATGAACAATAAGGCACTGTGTTGACTGAGTGGTTTAAAAAATAATCACGAAAAAATAAAATATCTAAAGAATTTTTAAATGCTTCCAAACTTCATTCTTTATTAGTAGAGAAGAGTCTATCTCATCTGGGGAGCATGGGTGAGAGATAATAGAGTCAAATTCCCAAACATTTTGTGTTCTTCATTAGTCCATTACATTTTAATAGGTAGAGAGTTCGCTTCAATTTATGTTAAATGACACATCTACCCAAGACATTTTGACATAAATAAAATATTTAGTGGTCAATCATTTGCATTATGAATATAAATAAATATTTAAACAAAAAATAAATTACTACAGAATATATACAATAATCATCTTGGAAATGTTGAAAATATACATCAAATTTATGCCACTTATAATGTCTTCATAAATATATTCACAAATCAAAGACATGAGTAATAATGTATTTTGCCAAAGTATATAGATCTTACATTAATATGTCAATTATAATAAGTAAAGAATACTGTAAGTCAACAAATTGTTGGCTTGTTTATGGAAGAATATAATTATAAAGCACACCCCTACCCAATAGACTATATTTCTTTTCTGAAGCAAAGTAAACACACAAGTGAAAGATTAAACAAAAAAACATAAAATCAATCAGGCTATTTCACTGATATTAAAAATATTCGAAAGAAACCATTCATGTTTAGAAAATTTCACGTTACTTTTACAAACCAAAACTATTACGTTTTACTTTTCAAAAAGTCGGTTAGTCCTCTAATTAATGCTTCAGTGGATGTTAAACTGATCAGACCAGATAAAATTTTTAAGAGCAATTGTATCAATGTTGAACTTATTACATAGCTTATTTTTGAAAATGATTATTAATTTGGGGGTTCATTTTTAGCTGTCTCTTAGTTTTAGATTTTTGCTAGATGAAGTAGAAGAAAGACAAGTACATAAGAAAAGAAAACTGATCACATTTAGTTTAGCATCTTCTTAACATTTATCTCAAGACCTTTCTTTCACTAATGCTTTCACAGTTGATTCTTATATGCAAAACAATCTTCTGTCATCTTTCAGAAATTTCAAATGCAACATAATACACTTAATGATAAAATACTCTGAAACACAGTCAAAGCAGAGACAAAAAATCAGGCCACTGTTACATGTTGCATATCCAATATATTTTAAAGTATTTTCAGTGGTACCCAACCTTTTTGGTATCACGAACCTATTTCATGGAAATTGGATGTGGGGCCAGCGGGGAGCTGGAGCTCAAGCTCAGGTGAGCTTCACTCCCCCACTGTGGATGAGTCTTTGTGGGGAGGGCACGAGGCAGAGCTCAGGTGAGCTTTGCTTGTTGCCGGGCTCAGAACAAGCAGGACAGTACCGGCCCACTACCCAGCCCCAGGGGGTGGATACCCCTGCTTCCGATAACTCATTTAACCTATGTCAAATTATGTTCATTCTACATAGGTTATTTTTTTATATCTTTTACATGAGATGCTATGAGACCTGAATTTTTTAGCAATCTTGATTATTCAATTTTTGTTGCTGATCTTTGTCACACATTGCTGCAAATTTTCTGTGGCACTTTGTGCCATTTTCGTATCCTTATATAAACAAATGATGAAGGAAGAATATGATTTTTTACCACAATTTAAAATGTAGGAAACTTAAATAAAAAGAAGTTAAATAACTTTCCCTGGGTGCCACAATGAATTAACTATACATTTGAAACCAGAACTGAAGTCCAATGAACATTGCAATGAACCACATCAAAGTAATCACCTCATCCATACTCAGGTAAATTAAATTCTTTCTTATAAAAACTTCTGCAGTTTAAACATATTGGGCTACATTAAAACAAATACTTTCAGACAAAAAATACTATAATTATTTATTAAAATATTAGAAGTGGGCATCTCTAGTTTTAGAAAAATAGAGTATTTTATATATTATAAATGCTCTGTAAAAATAGACATTTAGAAAATAAATTTGATCACGAGTCTATGAAAAGTACATAGGAAGCACCATACTCAAAGGCCAGGCACCCAGAATGAAAAGGGAAACACATGTGATGGGTTTTTATTTTTCATTAAGTGAACAGTTCCACAATTATACACAGGGACACAGTTTTTCCTGAACTAACCCTAAACAGAAATTTATAATGAGTCATAAGCAGAGCCCAAAACATCGCAGTTTCTATCCTCTGATCCAGTATTTGGGGGAGACTGGGGGGAGATTGGTATGGCGTATTTGGCAAGATATTTTTAAAATCTTTCTAAAGCCTGGATTAGTGGAAAAGGGAAAAAGAAAACAAAAGACGCTGTGACTCACGTGCAGCAGCGAGTCACACATTCAACTTCCCAAACATCAATAAAGCAAAGTTTTCTGTAAGTCTAGGCAAGCGCTCACCTAAACAGCTTGGAAATGTCTGCCTCTTCTTCACAGCCCAAAGTGTATTTTCACATTGCCAATGAATCCCCTACAGCCTCGCTGGATTGCTCTCTATGTATTTCTGTGTGGTGGAGGTGGGAGGACACAGGTGAATCTTTGAAGCAGGTGATGGGGAGGCAGAGGTCTGGCCCGCCTTGCAGGGCTCTGGCTCAATGGGCCATAGGATGGGGCAAGTTGTAGTTCTGAGGCAAGTGGCTCTGAAACATGTTAACTAACTGACAGTGTCTCTGAGGTAACGGCCTTGAAGCCTTAAAAGAAGAAACAGGTGAAGCGAAGACACAAAGCCAAATACTGCATCTTCCTGTAGACATGCCCAGGAATATGCATTTAAATATTTCTACTTGATTTTCTTTTTTCCTCATGAATGACAATGTGAAGAAAGTCATAAATTTGAATTGTGATCTTTTCTCTTTTGTGTACTGGTAAATCCTTTCCATAGACAACAGGGGGCCTCTGCCTGGTTTTGTAACTTAGCTTTGTTTAAAACCAGCCATGCCCATTTGTTTACATATTGCTTATGGCTGCTCTCCTGCTAGGATCACCAAGTTGAGTCTACAGTCACCAAGCTGAGTAGTTGAGACAGAGGCTAATTGCAAAACAGGAAAAATACATTAGGTCACAGCTACTGAGAGGCCTTCCATGATTCAGAGGAAAAAGATCTTCAGAATTAAAAAAAGAAAGGAAATTCGAGAATGAAGAGATGGACTTCAAAATAGGTTATTTCTCTCTGTCAACTATCAAACTGATTTTTGTTGCCTTTTGCATTAGTCCACATGAAGTGGGCACTTTCAGCCATAGTAATTTTTCTCTTATTATCTACTTCTCATTTTTAAAAAATGGACATTCGTCTTCTTGGTTGATTCCCAAACCTCAGCTATTTTGCTTTCCTCTTAAAATTAGTTTTTAAACAAGGACTGTCACACTAGGTCTTGGTTTGGCCGACCTGTAATATAATCTGGCCGGGTTAAACACTCATTACCATGTGGCTGGTTTGCTCGGTTTGCACAGGCAGTGGGCGGGCAGGTGGGATGGCCCACTGAGCTTGTTTCCTAACTTTCACCCAGCATAGGAAACTGGAAAATAGAAACAATCTCAAGTACTCAAAAATCAAAGTTTTGAGGATGTTTGCTATCATTTTGTTTTGTTTTGTTATTAACTAGAAGAGATTTCAAATAGCATTTATAACTTGCTGGTCACTTTTATCTACGCTGTAGGATGTTGAATTATCAAAATTCTCAAAAGAGACAGGAGAAGGAATTTAGCTGCAAGTGTATCTAAAGAGAAGATCAAAGGAGAAAGATGGGTTGAGTTGCTAAAACTGAGCCACAACTCAACTCTAATAAAGTTGAGGTACCCATACAACCTAAATATGAAGAGATTGGAAATCAGAGATGTTAAATGACTTCAACGCAGTTCATAATTATTTCATAGTGCAGCTAATTCATTGCTCCCAATTAGTTAATCACTTTGGTATGCCCACACCTGGATCATGAAGTACAGCAAATTAACCTGTAATTAAAGACAGCCCTACTAACTTTAACAAAATATTAGCTATAGCTTTTCTTTTTCAGTGGGTTATTAATGTAATGAAATGCTCAAGTTCAATGTAAGCATCAGAGTGTGGGTAATAAGATAAGCACATTAGCAGGTAACAGGTAAGGTGGGGAGGGTACAGGGTGGAGGGATTGAGCAAAAAAGGACAAAGGTCTCATGGACATGGACAACAGTGTGGGGGTTGCAGAGGGGAAGGGGACATAAGGGGACTAAATGGTAATAAAAATACAATAAAAATTATTTTAAAAATATAGCAATTTTACTTCATTTGAAATACAGCACTTTCTGTAGCTTCACTTTTTTATGGAGTATGTGGCAGTGAACCTGTCTTTGTTCCTGATGATAAGAAACGTCTGTGGATTGTGTAATTTGATGAACGCCTTAAGACTACTCAGAAAATTCAAATGACAAAACTAGGTTTCTCTCCTGTATTTTATACCTTTGCAATCTTACTTCTGAATCCCTGTGTTTTATAACTCAATTTGTGTAGCTTCTCTGGGGATGAAGGCAGGAGAGCTCAGATTCTCTGAGCTAACTCTGCTGTGATACAAATGCTAATACTGAATATATGTCAAAATGATGACATTCTAACAAATTAGAAAGCATATCACATTTTAATGATATCACTCTCAAAAAAATAGTTCAAATATAAATTATATGCTTGCTATGGTGAGTTTTTCTTTCAGGAACACACTTAATTTTGTGTTAAGACTACAGGGATACCTCCAAATCTGAGGTTAATAATGTTGTTTTGGATGTCACCCAGGCTTTGAATCATTTTAAAAGGCTTTTCCAGGGGCCTCTCTGGATTTGCTGAGCGCCTGCCCGAAAAGTTGGACCCGCACAACCTGGGCTGCCTGAGCCTGTTTGCTCTGACCCTGGAAACTATAGGATGTTAGAATTTCAGGGCAGCTGGGAACTCACTAGGCCCTCAGCTCTGGCCTAGACTGGTGGGAAGGAAGGTGGTAGCAAAAACCACCTTAAAATTTTGGGTCTGGGGCTGATTTGATCTTTGGGTTAACCTCAATCCGTCGCTGCCGGTTGCTGGGTTTCGGAGGGCGCGTTAAATTGCACCTGTCTCCAGGGGAATCATTGTGGATGAAAAGCCAGGCCTCTGCTCCAGGAGAGCAGCGCATCGCCCTGTGCTTGTCATTCTCTGTCTCATAGTCAAAGTGTGGTGGAGGCCACCAAAAGCATTCTACCTGCACCTCTGGTGGCTAAACGCGTATCATTTCACTGTCTTATAGTGAACGTAGTTCTTCATCAGTGAGGGGTGTTCTCATTAACCATGAATACTGATCAACTACTAAGTGTCTGAATCATAAATTATCAGTTTTCAAAGGGGAAGAAAAATATATGGCTTTCCTTAGTTCCTAATCATTAAAAAGAAGCATTAGGATGTATAGGTAATTGTTAAGAACATCAGTCTTCATTTTCCGTAAAGGTGAGGATACTAGTTTATTCAGAATGCTGCTTTCACAGAATGTAAGAGAAGATAATTAGTTCTGGAATATTGTATTTTAAAGCTTTCAATGTTTTACTTGGTTATAAACAGAGGAATTTTTAGAAATTAAAGATTGGTAAATTAAATTATTTGGTTAATTTTCTTCCAAATTTATAGGCATAAATCTATGTTTGATTTTTTTTCATTACTTATTCTGGATAACAAAACACAAGAAAACGTGTTCCTAATATGCGATTCCTTTATCTGAAGCTCCTCTCTCAGCATGACACTATGTGTGTGCACACACACACACACACACATGCGCACGCACTTGTATTCTCACATAGAGCCTGAGGACTTATGTCACCCGTAATATTTCTCTCCCTGAAGTTATAAATATAAAAGATTTAAATTATCTTAAATATTGAGGCATAACAAAATTTAAACCACTGCAATATTAAACTATTAAAATGTTTTCTGTGGTCTAAAATTAAGTCATGGGTTTTGTGATGAATGGATCCCTTTGGTCATATTTTTCTCTTCCTTAAGAAAGATGCTGGCAGTGCCCCATATGAGCACCAGTAAATAAGTAGTCTTGACCTAGTGATGATTTATTTATCCAGAAAAAAATGTATGCAAATTTCTGATCAGGATTCTCTCAAACCCAGGAAATTCATCTAAATTTCCCCAAACTCAGTTTCATATGTAAAGACAATTTTTCTTACCTGCCATCACTCCATAGGTTGATGGTTGGTTTCCATAATGACAGGAAGGAACAGAATAATGAAGTCCAGTTGCTGTGTTTCCCAACATTGTCACCGAGAAATATGTACGCAAACATTTAGAAGTTTGGATCAAAGACAAAACAGACGGGACTGGTAAGAAAATGTATGAGGATTGAAGACACTTTCGTTTCATTTCAAAAAATACACATTTATGTGATTCTTACATTTACATGCAATTGTTTGTTCTCATTTTGGGGAGTTTCTCTGAGTAAGTTAAAACTAGTGGTTAAGTTTATCTCCACTAATGAGACCATACGTCATCAAAGTGGAAAATAGCCTTCACTGATTGTCCCATGCACTGTGAGGTGGTGACTAGCCAGTTTGGACCTTGGCTAATTGGAAACTGCAGAATTCTTGTCAGTCCCATTCAATATAGACATTGCAACAAACTGACTAGGGGAATAGTCTCTTAAAATCCTTATATATCATGGTATTATAAAGTGGTCTTTCTCTGGAAGAATGAATACAGAAATTGAGTCTTGTCTTTACTTTTGCTTATTCTCCTAACAAATTTCTTCCATCAAAGAGGAAATGGCAGAGCACCTAGGCTCCTCACAAAAAACCCGCTAGATTTGGAGGTTTTTGAAAATGCTGTGACAATATACGATGTGTTTATGTTGATGATGAAACCTTGAGGTGGTAGGTTTCTGCACACACACAATCAATTGAACAATTCTAACGATAAAGCAGGTCAAAGAATAAGTTTATTGCGGAGTGGCAAGGTCTATAAAGGTTGAGGATAGTGTACAAGCACAAACTTGTTTATAGTTAAATGCCTTATGAAATCAATGTGCATTTAGAAAGCAAATTTAAAATACTAAACATTTTAAAATCAGGCTTTAAACATGAATCACCAAGATGACTAAAAGCAGGGACTATTGACAATAAAATCTCTAGCCAATGTTTCTTCATTTATTTAATTTTCTTATTCTCATTCATATCCTGAATATAGTGTTAGCTTTTAATAAATATATATAATTATATTCTCTTGAAAAAGTTCAAGAGATAAGAAGTAGAGAATTTGAATCCTTTGAAAATGTTAAGATATGATAGTAATTAAAGCCATGAGGTCTCTTTAGAAAGTAAAACATATTTTCTTTAACTATAGAACAATGTTTAATATTTTAAAATATTTGCATAAATTTTTATTTTATAACTGATGTGTAGAAAGAACTAAAGTCATTTTGCATTATGATTACATATAAAAACCTTGTTATGCATTTTAAAATTAAACAAGATAAAAAATATTAAATACTCAATTGTTCTTATTATACCCATTATTTCTAGTTCAGTCTTTGGACAAATGACTATGATTTGATGAAAAATATAAGTACAATACCATTTAAAATATATTTGCCATTTTTACTCATAATTTTTTTTTAATTTATAAAATTTAAACGCATTTTGTTTCTCTGATTTTGGCAAGATGGATAAAGGATAGGTTAATTTACTATGTATGTTATTTATTTATTAAAAAATACATTTTAAAAATAACTAAATGGGGTTTTGAGCCTAAACTAGTTAAATCATTACTTCAATTCTAAATATTTTCATTCTGAAATAATATTCACACACAGTAAATTAAACAAACAATACAAATTCTCCTCAGATCTTATTTATAGAAAGTTCTATTATTAAAAATATACACTTAGCTATGGAATAGTTCAAATTTTTATAGCATATATTTTTGGTAAAATATGTTATTATATAGTTTTAAATGTTTGAATGTACTTTCAATATTACCTTTTAAATTAAGTTAGAAGACTCCTAGGTAAGTGAAAAAATCTCAACATTAATGACTTTACCAAAGTCTAGCTATATAGTCTCTATATTCTTTAAAATCCAGCTAAAGATTAATGCTGAACTTACATATATATATTTGTAAACTGCCCAATTATAAAAAAGGTAAAGCCTAAATAACTTAAATCAGAATATGAATTTATCAACTATAATTTTTATTTCTAAATGTATGAAATTTATTTCCTATTTCAATTGCTTTCAAAACAAGTGTAAAATGAATATTGTGTATTGTTATATAATGGAAGACATTTATTTGAATCAATTTAGTCTTTTTATAATTCTACTTCAAACACTTTATTTGTTACTGCATAGTTAAAGAATGAATTATGCTTTTTGCAAAACATTTGTGTTTAAGACAATATATTTGAATTTACAAGTTTAACTTTTATTTAGGAAAATTATATTTAAAAATATTAAAACTTGGTTAGAGGTTAAAGTCTTTCCAGAATCCAGATTTGAAAAAAATTAACTCATAAATGTTACATATTGCTCCTACGTTTTATTTTTGAGTTTCAAATTATGTTAAAAAGGTAAGTTTACAAAACTTACTTAACTAGTTTATTTTTTTACATGCACTGTTGCTGTTATTGGGAGTCATTTAGTTGTGGTATGAGGTATTTTGGCTGGTTTTAGAATAGCAGCAAATGTTATCTAAAAACCAAATAAATTTGTAAGTTAAAGAAGTTACACCTTTAAAACACTAAATTATTTTAGATTATTTCTTTAGTTTTGCTCTTTACCCATAAACTTTTCATTAGAATAATTTTTGGATTAAAATTAGCCAAATTCACTGTCTCGTTGTGTAAAAAACAATCTTTATAATCAAACCAAAAATAATTTAAATTGCTACACTTACTAATATTTCTTAAAAAGTTTCTTAGACATTTTGACTTCTTCAATATCCTTTCTATTTAATTTAAAATATATTAAACTGAAGGGGGAAATAAAAGAAACAAAGAGATTCTAAACTAACAAGATTCAAATCGTCTACTACGAGACCCTTAGGCCCAGCCGCCTGCAGACTGTTATTGGAGTCAGTACCTGAGGACATCACATTGGTAGCGTGGTTGGAGACCGGTAGGCACTCGGCGGCAGCGCTGGGATGCATTATCAGCGGCAGAGTTGCAGAAGACTCGGAATTCAGAGGTATAAACGTATCAGCCGAAGTAAAAGGTTGGCAACTCATTCCCACAAGAGAGTAGAAAAAGGAAGAGAACTGTTGCTCCCCAAATTGGAGTTTTATTATATTACTGTCTCAAAGGGCTGTTTCACATCTCATTACCTGCATATATACATCAGGAAGGTTCTGAAGCCCCAAGAGGGCGCGTGCTGGCGTTTATACTGCAGGGAAATCCCTTCATACATGTTAATCATCTTTTCCCAGGGGTATTGCTTTATCAGTCTCAACTGCCTTCCTTCTAACTCAAACATAATCCACGCGGGAGAGGAAAGCTGGTTATGGGGTATAGATTGAAAGGAAGGGAGAAATCTGAAACTTTTCCGACAATTTCAGTAATTCAGACCTTTCAGAAAGAAATCGAAAACTTAAAAAAGTGTCCCTCAAAGAAATAATGCTCCAATAAATTAAAAAATGGGAGTCTTTTTGTTACTAAAAAACGGCAAATTTATATATATGAGATTTTTTCTTTTTTGATAACTTTCTGTTAAACTTGCAAAATGACAAGAGAACATACTACATAATTTTGAGAAATTATGAATATTTAAGTATTTAAATTTTAATTGAAAGTATAGAAGGCTGAATATAAGAATGAATATATAACCACTAATTCAAGCAGTGATACATTTTTGAAAAACAATGAAAACTAGTTTAATTTTTATAATATTATAAATGCAAAAATATTGAATAAAATTACAGTAACCTGTAGAGAAGATGAGCATGAGTGATAGTATCTCTCCCTTGACTTCAACTTACTCAGTAAAAAATGAATATATAGTAGGCTCTTACTGTATGCAGGTGAGATTCCAGGCACTTGCCCTAGTTATGCCTTGCAGGTCTCACAACAGGCACCCGAGTCCTGCACCCCACCATCTCTGCACACTGGACCCTGCCTGAGCCTCTGCACTGAGCCATCCTGCTCCCGAGCTGGTATTAGAGCACTGGGTGCAAACTTCGCGTGTACAGAATAGATTCACATTATATGAGAAGGGAAAAAAAAGCCCAATATGCTACAAACAATTAATTTGAAGATAAAGATCAGCATCAAGATTTTACAATGATCATGGTTTCAGTATATAAATGAGTAAATGGGATACTTTTTAAAAATATACACTAGGAGTAAGATAGCAAACGGAAGTAATCTGACAAGCATTGGTGGATATTACTGACCTAGGCAAGGGCGATGCTTCATTAGAATTTTTTTAACATTTGTATTTTTTAACATTTGGAATTGGTTGTTTTGTGCTAATTTAATGTTCATATTGATAAGAATGTAGTTTCATAAAACTGAAATTTTTTAATAACCAATTGATATTTTACAAAAAATAAGGTTGCCCCATCATTAACTATTGCTTCAAAAATATTTATTTTTAAAATGACACAATTTCCCATATTTTCAAGCTTTATTAGTCTTCTCCAATGAGAGAAGATTACAGGAAATCAAAAATAATGATCTTACTCTTGCAGAATTCTTACAATTTTTTAGAACATCACATATACTAAAAGTACTTTTTCAGTTTATTTAAAAAAGAATTTGCTAATAAAACTAAATAGAAATAAATTTACTGGGCACTGCATATTTAAAAATTAAGTAAATGATATACAGAAAAAATAGCACTTGAAAATTTCCCCTAGTAATTTTGATATTATTATTTAGAAGCATTGGAATATATTGGTAAAAATATCAGCCAAATGACAGATAAGGAAGAGTATTATAAAACCTGCCTGGAATTACTATGCTACTTAAAATTTTTAAATTGCAATCATAGACATTATTTCCTTAATAATGTTTAAATTTTAACTATTTGTATTATGTAGTGGAAAGCAGAATGTTACAGTTGGAATTGTGGAAAGCCAGGAATAGAAGTTTCCATTATAGTCTTCTCAGAACTATACTCTATTAGTTTATCAATTTTTAAATAAACTTTTTATAACAGTTTTAATTTTACATAATATTGAATTATACAGATCTATTACATTTTAACTATTTCTTTATTGTTGGGCATTTGTATTTTTTCTGCTTTCCACTTTTATAAATAGCAATGCAAGTAACATTTTTGTCCAAAATATTTTTATACAATATATTTTTACTGCATAACTATTTTGAATTGTTTTGAATATCCTCCCTTAGGATGATATATTGTTAGAAAAAGGATTATTGAATTTGCCTTATGATATTTTTAAAGTTCTTAGAACCATTTACAAATTGCTTTTTTAATTACAAAAGACATTTTTAGCATAGTTCTAGGTTCAAAGTAGAATTCAGCAGAAAGTACAGATAGACCCCATGTGCTCCTTGCTCCCACACCTGCAGTCCTCCACATGGTCGGCATTCCCCACCAGAACGGCCCCTTTGTTAGAACTGATGACTCTGCATTGACACATCATTGTTGCCCAAAGTCCACAGTTTGCTCTTGTACATTCCACTTAACAAATGTATTATGGCTGTATCTACCATTGTAATATTCCACAGAATATTTTCACTGTCCTTAAAATTCTGTGTTTCATCCATTTGTTCTCTTTTTTTCCTTCCTAATCCCTCTGGCACTGATAATTTTTTCACTGTCTTCATAGTTTTGTGGGGTTTTTTCAGAATATTATATACTTAGAAACTTACAGTGTGTAAACATTTCAGGTTTAATATTTTTAGTTTTGTCATGCACTTCAGCTTCTTTGGTATTATTTCATAACTTGGTAGCTCACTTCTTTGTAGTGCTAAATAATATTCCACTGTCTGGATGTACTGCAGTTTATTTGTTCATCCACCTACCAAAAAACATCTTGTCTCTTTTATGTCTTGGTAATTTTGAGTAAGGCTGCTATAAACATCTGTGTTTTGTGTAGGCATAAGTTTTTAAAGTGTGCAAATTGCAAGGTGTGCAATTGCTGAACCACATGGTAAGAGTGCGTTTAGTTTTGTAAGAAACTGCCAAACTGTCTTCCAAAGTGGCTGTACCATTTTGTATTCCCACCAGCAATGAATGAGAGTTCCTATTGTTCCATATCCTCATCAGCATCTGGTGTTGTCAGTATTTTGGGTTTTTGCCATTCTAATAGGTATGCACTTGTATCTCTATATTGTTTTAATTTGCAAATGATGCTTATCATCTTTTATACATTATTTGCCATCTCTATTTTTTCTTTAGTGAAGTGACTGTTCAGATTGCCCATTTTTAAGTTGGGTTATTAGTTTTCATACCGTTGAGTTTTAAGGGTCATTGGTATATTTGGGGTAATAATCCATTATCAGTTATGTCTTCTGCAAATATTTTCTCTCAGTCTCACTGCCCCCACAATTGGCTTGTCTTCCAAATTGTTTTTTCAAATAATTGGTTCTATTGTGATTTACTTTCAAATACCAAGAATTTGAGCAAAAAATAGAACTCACAGAAAAGGCCAAAACACAGACTGAGACTGAATAGGGAATGGGAAGCCATTTGCCACATCTCTCTGACTTTCCTACCCTTTCCCCTGTATTCCTCACTTTTCACACTTTCTGCAAAACACCCTGGCTAATTCTCTATCTATACCACTTCACAGAGCTCCAAATCTCTCCCTAAGGTTTTAGCCAAGCAAGGAGATTACTTTACTGCTTCTTGATCAACATTTATGAGAGAGCCATTCTGATTGGCTATGGCTATTCACTGGCTGTGGTTATTGGTGTGTTCCAGCAATGGTTCCTGTGCCCACACTTGTAAATGAATTGGTTTGCATTAGAAGCATTCTGACATTTGTAGGTGACGAGAAATTGTTATCTGGAAAGACATTCTTAAATGTGGTGGATGCTGTTCTACCATTTTACAACAGCACCACAAGAGAAAATTTGACATTTTTTTGCATTGTCAATGTCAGTAATGAAATCTAACTACTGATGCTTTATGTTTACTAAGACTATAGCATTTTTTAATTTAATGTCCATTTTTGATTGCAAATGTTATAGTTCACATCTATATTAGCTATTTGTACTCATCATTTTGTTAATTAACAAATGGTATATTTTGTATTTTTATTTAAAAACCTTCAGTTTTATTGTCATTTGTGTTTTTAAATGCATTAAGTATATTAATTTTATTTATAATTTTATGATTTGTATAAATAATAATTTATTTATAATTTATAATTTTATAATTTTTTTATTTCTACTGTCATCAAGTTTTATGATTAAAATTCTTCCAATTTCTTGCTTATAATTTGAATGTATATGGGACATTGACATACAAGGAGAAATCTTAAAAAAAACCAGAATGTATTTCTAAAAAATTATGTATTTATTCTTATGTCTTTAAACTTAGTCACCTTCAGTATACTTTCCATTTCATTCAATACACTTATCAAGATGTTTTTTCACTGATCATAACAAACATGATTTGAACTCTTTGATTTTAGTGCCTTTTAGTGCTTCTGCCATTTTTAGTTTCACCTCTTCCACATTAGCAAAATGTTTCCCTTTGAGGACTTTTTTCGTCTACAGAAACAAAGTCGCTTGGGGTGAGATTGAGTGAATAGGAAGGGTGGAGCATGGGGGTTGTGCCATATTTTGGTCAAAAACTGCCAAACATGCAGTACAGTGTGGGCAGTTGTGCTCCTAATTCACCCATTATAAAATGGGAAAATGCCTTGGAAGAGTCTTCAGAACAATGCACTGAAGATGAATGCAGCCTTTCACAATAATGCTAGCTGGTAGTCTGATACAAATGGGTTCCTAGAACCCTCACCTGGCAGGGAAGCTGTACTACGAGGGACTGGTCCTCCAAAATATAATTCCATTATTTTGGGGGGGTTCCCCCCTTGTACATAGTATTTTATGTATGTACTAAATATGTTGATATTTTATTTTGTGTGTTTCTTAATGATTTTAAGTTGAAAAAGTGTTCTCTCATTCAGTGGTATTTTTTTTTGTTATTTTGGAGTCTTAAAATATTCCTCTTGAGATTTTAAGTTGCTACTTTAGAGTTTATTTAAATTGCTTAAATACTAATGAAAATGGTAACACAGTCTGAAAGCTATCAGATAAATAA